AGGCCCTGGGGGAGGGATGCAAATTCCAAAAGGCCCATTTTTTTTAAAAGCTATTTGTTGGAAAGTGATCAGCTCCGGTGATTACAGATTGCTCTATATGATCATTGTTATCTGTACTCTTTCAGGCCCCTAAAAACACCCAAATTAATGAAAATTTAAATAGAATATTCACGAATTATTGGTTTTCATAACTCCATTATATAAGGCCCTCAAAATGCTATTGTCATAGCTTCCAGGGTATTTCTCCCCTCCCCAAAACCAAGGCCCCTGCCCCTGGAACCCAACATTTAAAAAAGTCTACTTTTTTATGTAATTGCAGATTGATCCATTATGAACAATTTTATCTGTAGGCCTACGGATGTAAAGGACATAAAAAGTTACTTCTTTAGGTCCCTACAACACCCAAATGAATGAAACTTTGAATAGAATATTCATAAATTATGGGTTTTAGAAATCCCATGGCTTTCAAAATGGAATTTTATCTGAGCGTCTATGGGCTTAGCTCTTAAAACCCCACTCGACCTCCAAATTTCGAAGTCCATAATAACGGAACTCTTAATTCAGTAAAAACGATCATAAAGTCTATAGTTAGTAGCTATAGCATGCATTGCAATTTATTTGCCAGCTCTTCTAGCAGTTGATGTTTGATAACTCTGTTGGAAATTTAGCAATATTAGCTCCAGGAATTGCAGATTGATCCGTTCTGAACAATTCAATGTTACCGTATATGTAAAGGCTTACAGATATAAAGGACATAAAACGCTACAACTTTAGTTAATTAAATAGAATAGAAAGCCATTTATAAGACCTTTAAAACGCTAATTTGTCGGGGACCTAAGGTCCGCTTCCATTGAAAAAACGCACCTCCGCATCGAAAATCATGTCTACGGAGGTTAATGATAATATTTAATTGACAGTATATTTTTTTAACAGTAAAGCAACAGCAACAACAATTATATCATACGAATAATATTTTAAGTATATTGATTTTAGTAATAATAATAATAGTAATAATTATATAACTAGAATTACTATGTCTGTTTGAAAAACAAAAAATATGGCTTTTTCTTATTGCCCTAATGAGAAGTTATGTTGAAATTGCTAAAAAATGAAATCATTAAAAAAATATAAAGTAACATACACCTGAAAAATAAGATGCTAAACAAAATTATGAAGTTAAAAAACACATGAAAACCAATCCGACGTCTGTGAGACTTGAACTATGAGTGCAGTAGTAATAGCAACGGTGGTGTTGAGCGGTCTTACCGTACGCTGAAGAACCCGACACCGTAGAAGTAAATACTAATAAATAATAATAAATAATAATAATAATAATAATAATAATAATAATAATAATAATAATAATAATAATAATAATTATTATTATTATTATTATAATAATAATAATAATAATAATAATAATAATAATAATAATAATAATTATTATTATTATTATTATTATTATTAGTATTATTATTATTAAGCCTTGGAGTCTTCCATGAGGTCCTATCTTGATCACAATCTCTTGATTGTGGGAGATTTCAATTTCTCGGACATACTTTGGTATCCTGATGGTACATATAAAGCACCTGCAAACTCCATATCTGAACTGTTTACGGACACTGTTCAAGATGTACATAACCTCAAACAATGTAATTTAAATGTTACTTGTAATAATAAAATCCTGGATTTAATACTGTGTAACAATGATGATTTGGTAAATGAGATAAAAACTGGCCATAATGTTTTTCATTCTGACCACGAGTCAGTCTCCTTTAAACTAAAATTTGACGGTAATATCGTTTTTGTAAATCAGTTTACCAGATACCAATTCAACTATAGAAAAGCAAATTTCGAAGAAATAAATAAAACATTTAAGTGGATTCCTTGGGATGTTCTATTAGGTTTTAGTGGCAATGTCAACGATAGGCTTGACATATTTTATGATGTTGTTTATGCTACTGTATAATACATACTCCAAGTAATGAAATACACGCCATCGTGTTGGGATTCAATATTTCGACATTGATTATGTCATCATCAGGAATGGTATTCCTGATGATGACATAATTAGTGTCGTGTATTTCAATACTTGGAGTATGTATTATACTTTCTTATCTGAGATTTATCGTGGACCTTTCGGTTTATGCTGCTGTTAGAGACCTTGTTCCAATTGTAAAAGTTAAAAAGAAAAGACCTCCTTGGCTCGATAGACAATTAGTAGCCGCTTTTAAAGACAAACAGCATTTTCATATATCTGGAAGAAGTTTCCTTCTGTCATTAGCCGGCAAAATTTCTGCGTTGCGAGAACGTATTTTAAAAAAAGAATGAAGAATAAGTACAAAGCTTACCTAACATCATTGTGGTCAGATATAACTACAAACCCCAAAAGATTCTGGTCGTGGTTAAAAAATAAGAGAGTATTAAAATTCACTTCTTCCATAACCAATGATGCCAATGAGGTAGCAGAGACTCCTCATGCCAAAGCTAGTATGTTTAATAACTATTTTGTTTCCAAATTTTCAGACTTCAGAGATGCTGAACCGGCGGTGCATCAATGTCTTCCTGAAGTAAACGCTGATGTCCTGAACAACATCAGTATTCAGCAGGAGGAAGTTGACCAGATCTTGAAGTCGCTCGACGTTCCAAAAGGCCGCGGGAAATGATCCTATTATTAACCAAATTCTTAAGTTCTGTTCAGCTTCTTTATCTTTTCCGATCACCCGTATATTCAAATTTTCATTACAAACCGGTGTTTTTCCAGAAAAATGGAAAACCGCCAACGTTGTCCCTATATACAAATCAAACTCAAGATTGAAAGTTAAACATTATAGACCCATTTCATTACTCCCAACTATATCGAAAGTATTTGAGCGTCTGGTCCACAAGTAACTCTTAAACCACATTATCCTTTTATTGCTACTGAACAACTTGGCTTTATATCTGGTAGATCACGTGAGACAAATTTGGCTACACTTATGTCTACCGTATATGAAGCCATAGAACATAAAAAGCAATGTGATATCGTTTATACTGATTTCACTAAAGCTTTCGATAGAATACCTCACAATCTTCTTTTATTTAAACTTCATCAATTTGGAATTTGGGGTAATCTTCATACCTGGTTTAAGAGTTACTTGTATGGGAGACTCCAGATAGTGGTATTTGAGGGGTCTGAATCTAGTCTCCTCCCTGTCCTCTCTGGAGTCCCCCAGGGCTCCATACTGGGCCCAATCTTATTTAACATTTACATTAAAGAAATCCCACGGCTTTTCTTAAATTCCCAGTGCCTTGCTTTCGCCGACTACCTCAAGATCTACAAAATCATCAAAACTCAGGAGGACTCGCGCGCTCTTCAGGAGGACATTGATCGTCTCTTCCAGTGGACCACCGTTTGGAAACTCTCCCTGAAGCCTGAAAAATGTAAAATTTTGTCATGTTCCTTAAAGAAAAATCTTATAATATATGATTATAAAATTGATTACAAGTAACATTTTAGAAAGGGTAAAAGCACATCGTGATCTTGGTGTCCACATTGATGAAAACTTAACCTTTTCCACCCATGTGGACACCATTGTTAAAAAAGCAAACCGGCTGCTTGGACTAATGTGGAGAAATTGCAAACTTCTTACACCATCAGAAAAATTTACTCTATATACATCAATAATTACTCCATCCCTTGATTTCTGTTCAGTTATCTACAACTCAATATCTCATACTCATTATATTAGAATAGACCGGATTCATAAAAAAATTCATGAAGTTCATTGACCCAGCTGCCGGTTCGCTTAGTTGCGAAAAATTTTTACCATCGACTAGACGAAAACGAAACGATCTTATTTTTTTATTTAAATGTTTAAACTGTAAGTTTGATTGTAACCTTGTGTCGAATTTTTATTTTCATGTTCCTGTGTGTAGGCTTCGTACCAATCATTTGTTAAAAGTTCCGTACTCTCGTGTTAATGTTTTTTCTAATGGTATTTTTCGTCGTGTTGCACTTTCTTATAATAATCTAGTTCAAATGTTTCCTAATATTGATATTTTTAATTGTAATATTTCTATTTTTAATATTATATTAAATACCGGTTTTTAATATATTATTACGATATTTTTAATGCTTTTTATGTTTTTTAAAAATTTTATATATTTTTATGAATGATATTGTATATTTTTATGGCGACTCTGTTATTGGTGTTTTGATACACTGTTGAGTCTTGAATAAATAAATAAATAAATAAATAAATAATAATAATAATTTTTAATATAGCGCCCTATAACAATCAAGAGATGAGGATCATGATGCTAATGCTTGGTATTGTCCATCCACTGCAACGGCTACCAGGGGTAGACCTGGAAAAAAATATTGGAATTTGAATATTTGGAAATTTGAGTTTTCTTGGTCATTTGACATATAGTATGCTTAGCCAGGTGGGCCCACACCACCTGAGCTCCACCTTGGTTGGGGCAGGGATGAGAAATTTACATTTGTATTACGTCTACATGTTTGAAAATTAAAAGACCGAAAAGGTGCCTTATTTTGATTTTATTTTTATTTCGTGCTGGCTTAAACTGCATTAATCACTCAACCACGACAACTATGCCAACCACATTGTAAAGGCAGGCTGGTGATGATGATGATGATCTTGATGATATTGATGATGATGACGAGGTGGATGATGATTAATGGTGATTGTTAATTTCCATTCACAGCAACGGCTACTGAATCTCCGCCAGATCCACCTGTTGGCGCAAGTGCAGAGTCACTCAACCACAACAAGAGGAAGAACAACAAACCATTACAAAGTTAGGCTGCTGATGATGATAGACGATGTCGATAATAATGCTGGACGACGTTGATTTCGATCATGAACATCGATGGAATTTGTGGTGGCAATCAAGACGTTTATTTGATCGGAGGATAAACGTATGTATCCGACGCAAGAATGTATAAATAACTGCATTTAAAAAATGATCCTTTTTTTTTGGTGGCGATTTAATAAGGCTCGGAAACACTTTAAAATTGGTATATGATTAATGTTGAATGTATATTATTATATTTCGATGGCTCTTGTCAAAACTTCGATAACAGTTGTCACCTATGCGAACACGGGCAAACAATTGGTGCGTTTGACTAGTAGAGACTGTACAGTAAAAAGTCCAAGAAAAAGATATATCCCAAAATAAAAATTTATTTATCTATTTCAAAAACACTGAATCTCATTATGTTTAATTTTCTTTACAATTAAAGTAATTTCTGATACGACCACACGTCAATATTAGCTGACATTTGAATTCATATTCATTTTGATTAAATGGTCACATGTTTCAATATTAAATAACTACATATCCATATTTGCCAGCTGAAATGTTTTCTCCAATTGGTCCTGTAAATCCAGAACCTACTGATACACATGTTTACTATCAATGTTGTTAAACTCACCTGTTATGTCCAAACTTACTTTAATATAATAATCGGCCCTCGCACTGTACGTTTATAAAGTAATTCAAATGGTACAAACACTGTACTTTCTTGTGAAGTTTCTCTGTACGCGAAGAGAACTGGTTCAATGTACGATCCAAATCATTTGGTCTTTCTTCACATATCTTTTTTAACATAGATTTTAGACTTCCTTTCAACAAGTAAATTGCACATGGCATGATATGGTCGTGTTGTCGTTAATCTTTTGATAGAGAATATCCTGCTTACTTCTTTAATGACACCTGATGTGTGAACTGATAACCCTGGTCGGTTAATATTTCTTTCGGAAAAACTAAAGTGGCGTATCTAGGGGGTGCGGGGGGTGGCGCACACGCCCCTCAAAAAATTACTCGCACCCCCTCAGTCGTCTCCACCCCAAAAAAACGGTCAAGTAGTAAAAAATCACCTAAAATCACCGTATCTTGCGAATTAGCGCCCCTCAACTGTTCATGAGCACTCCATTTCATTTTCGCGCTCCCCCCCTCCCCTCACCCACATCAACACCTCCATTTCAACACTTCTAGATACGCCACGTGAAACCTACTAGAGAATAAATGCTAAATAAAACTTCAGCCACAACTTCTGCTTCAGTTGTTTTCAGGGTAACCTGTTGCGTATATCAACACAAGGATATATTTTTGTCCTCTGTCGTTGGCTTATTGGACATACAGCATATTTTCTTTGGGTTTGTTGAAGTGATAAGTCAGCGATGATTGGCCTAAAAGACTATGATATATATCAAAATTTAAGTTGAACACTTCGGTTGGAACTGAGGTGGGCAAATTGTAGGAACAGATATATATAGCCTGTTAATTTCCCCTGGACATTTTCCCCCTGCAAATTTTCTCCCGGACATTTACCCCCTGTGACATTAGCCCCCCAGTCTTTTTCCCCGTATGACAATTTCCCTTGGACTTTCGATTAACTTTTAGATGACATGGAGTGGAGAACGTTAAAACGTAAATTTGTATTTCTATATCCAGTAGGCCTAAGTGATTTTAATAAAAGAAAAAATATTTTATCTATTGTTTATAGTTGTGGTGTTGAATACTGTTGGTTAAGATCGTGAAATTATGACTTAAATGTGGGAGACATGACTTAGTGTTGTAGCCTCAGAGCCGAATGAGAAATCTAAGACGATTCCAAACAGGGGTGTTTACATACACTTTAACCCCACTGTGGTTGGGAGTGTGGTCGACAAATTGTAGGAATAGACACCTAGATGCCATGGAGTGTAGAATGTATTTAATGTACGTTATTTTGATCCAATGAGTATTTTCATTAAGTGTAATCTTTAATCAAATATAGGGGTATGCCGGTGTAGCCTTAGTATATGAACGCCACTACCACAGTGATGCATAGTTCATTGATTTTATTGTACTTTTAATTTATTTATTTGGTTAGTGATGTTGCACCATTTGAGCAAAACAACTTCCTATGTCTCTCACAAGGACAATAAAATATATCTGTATCTGTATCTGAATATTATTTTTATCGCATTTTAAAGAATTATCTGATTTTATTGGTTTAATAAAAAGGAAATATTTTATTTAATGAAGTTATTATGTTGATTAATGTTGGATTTAACGGTATAATTATATTTTAAGCCTGTAGAGATGAATTTATTGTGTATCAAATGAATTATGAATTCAAGCTTTATGTGAAGGTGCATTGTATGTGTATATGTGTCTTTACAACTATTGTATTCTGTTAATCCTCTAGTATACATATCTTTCAGTATTGTACTTCCTTGTTTCCAAACTGTTTCTCCTTTCTTAATAACCACTGATGTTCTAATAAAATGTTCGGTAATCATATATTATAATTTACAGATTATGTTTGTTTTTGTGTCAGATTCTTTTATGTAAACATACTGTAGTATACCAAAAATAATAAATATCATTGTTTATAGCTAGCTATCTGTGAGTGTCGTCTTTAGTAACTCATCTAACGATAATTATTGTCGACTAGCGTATCCACTCAGTATATTTACGGTACAGTGTTTAATATTGAATAATAACTGCTTTCATTACATTTCTATTAATCTACTACGGACAAAACCTGTTTAAAAAATTCCCCTGGTAAGAATTGAACCCGCGATCTGTCGCTGTCAAGTGTCATCACGGGTCGTTTGTAAATCGGAGATAAATTCAACCAGGTAAGCGTTATGGGCGACACTACTGCAGGTTCGAATAATAAACTGTAGCAAAATAAATTGAATATTCATTTCACCTAGCATTGTATGTTATTGTCGACAAGGTCCAGTGAACACACACTTCTGATGTCCTAGCCTACTTTTTTTTTCTGCTTGTGTAAAGTAACAAAGTGAAATTATTGCTGCGAAGCAGCCAATTCATATTCTTGACAGCAATTTGACCTCTGAAAAGTCATTGTTTGTCAAAAAACAAGGGCCTAAGACGACTGAAAAGCGGAGTTTCCTTCTTTCGTTCTGCCGGGTAAAATACATTAGGCAGGCCCGTAGCCAGGTCATTTCAAGGGGGGTTCTCTGGGCGTGGGGTCCAGGGGACTGCATAAGGGCCCCGGTGGGGTCGGGGGCGACGCCTCCCGAATCCAGAGCAGTTTTTTGTGTTTAATGGGTCTATATAATGCTATAAAAGCAGTTATGTGTTGAAAAAGATATATGTAATAAAAGGTGGTAATATAATAAAATTGGAAAATATTTTCTGAGAACTGGCATGTTTTAATCACACCGAAAGACAAAAAAGCCTCAACGCACAATCAATATCAATATACTCAACACATTTATTATTATAAAACAAAACAAGCTATAGATAGGCCTATAAAGTAATTTACAAACAAGAAGTTTTGTCTTGTATTAACTTAAATAATGAATCTTCCAGTAGGCCTATATAAAAAAAATAGTGTTGCCTATTGACTCGCATCTTGTACACTGAAAATAATAGTACTATTTTTACTACATGGTTAAAAAAGCACAAATATTGTCATTACTACAACTGACAGGGCCATCGTTAAATTAAGTCGGATCCCAAAATATAGCATTATATTGAATACGTCATCTGACATCATGGGAACCTAAACTTTACTTACAATTATTTGTTTACTATTATCGAAATTATTGTTTTAAGACTTTAACCTAATACATACTGATTAATAATAGCTGAGATTTAATGCACATTTCAGAATTAATAATCGTTTTTAGTATCTTACTGAATATTTATTGTCTACCAAATGAAATATGAATTATATATGAATCTTTAGAAATACAATTTCTACAATATTAATCTTGTTTTTATGTAGATAAATGTTCGATAAATACTATATTTCATAAAACAAACGAAATTCAGAGCGTCTATTTTCATTCCAATCAATGGCGTTTGTAAACATGTGCACCACGTCATCGTCGAATCCCAGGACTTTCGACGGCAAAGCTGGCCTGCCTGCCTAGGTCCCAGGCCAACCAATAATAATTAACAAAATGTATTATTTTTTTAAAATATAGGCCTATGGCGCATCCTGTTCATCATGCACTTCAACTTTTACAACAAAAGCCTAGGCCTACGTCCTACTGTACTTAAATTGCCTAAGCCTACACTAGTTTGATGTCGTCGGGGTATAATTCTGTCTCTAAATGCAGCGTAACTACTAGGAAAAATCAAAATTCAAGATTGGGTCTAAAAAATCCCAAGATTGCTTTTAAAAACCCAAGATTCGCAAAATATTAGTATATATACATAAACTTCATTTAAAAGTCCTTCATTTTAAAGCTTTTTCAATGAATTATATACTGTACAGTATTTTGTACTGTATAAACCTTAACGAAGTGTCTGGATTTTCGAGACCAGAAACTCGTTCGCTTTGGGCCATACTTTTCGAAGGCCTACTCTGTGCGTCCGTGGAAAATCGTTTTTGGTGACTAAAACGTGATATCCTTTCCTCTGGCATTTTAGGCCAAGAGTTTGAAGTTTGTGCGCAATTTCACCCATTCGATATTAATAAAGTCAGTAATTCACACACATTAGGCCTATGGCCTTATTATATAAAAGGGCATAATCGGTCTTTTCAGAGTGTCTAATTGATCTGTCAATTTTATACCAGGGGCCTCAGTATTGCATAGGAGTATTTAACAATAAGAAAAATTGGGAAAGCAGTTTCCTTTGAAATTTACTTAAGCAAGTGTGTATGAAACCGGGCCTATGGCATCTATAATTTGATACTACGTCTAGAAGTGTAGAGATACGGACCCTATTATTAAAAACTGTTGAATTCTAAATGATTACAAGATGACCAAGCATATGAATGAATTATGTCTCAAATGATATTCAAAGATATTATACAGCTAACCGCTAATGTTTGTTTTGCATGTCTATTACACACCGTCACTTACAAATGTATGCAAAATTGGTCGTAAAATTTGACAAGTTGACCATTAAAATCTATTGTAAATATTTATTTAAATCCGTACACCGATTTTGTTTCAAGGTCTTTGTTTTCAATACTATAGCTGTTTCTTTACGATGACAATGTTTTGAAATTGTACTGTATAACACTCCAAAATTTGTTTTATGGCAAACAGCAGAAGGCTCTAAATTTTTACAAGTTGACCAAGCGTGTTGCTGCATCATTATTGTTCAGTTACGATCACTTCAGGAAGAGAGCAGCAGGCTGATAATTTGTTTTTCCCACAGCTATTTAGATGTCGTTGGTAACTTCTTTTTTTTTTAAGTGTGAGTGTAAATATTCTCTAGTGTATATACTGTAGATAAGAATTTTAGATAAATAATGCACATAAAATCAATTGTCGATGGAGAACGGCGTCAGTCATCTGATTAGTCCCATATTAACAGTACCGATATTTTGAATACTTCTCTTCCGCGAATTGTTTTATTGACAGTGACTCATCTATTTCTTATATAATCACTTTAACATTTTAATCGAAATAGTTCACCATATCGTAAAAGTTTGAATACCCACCAAATTCGTTGGCGATCTTCAGTGTATGTTATGTTAATAAAACATGTCATACTGTACAACAAGGGAATGTGTATTACAAAATGTCAGTACGTATTTTTTAGATTTTGACGCACTTCGTTCTGTTGTGTGTGTCTGCTGTTGAAAACAAACTTCCTAATTTTTCGACTCGCTATGATGACTGAGATGGACCGAGTGGGACTTATTCAAAAATTCGAGGGGGTTCGCTAGAAAACAGGGGGGTTCGCCCGAACCATAACCCCCCCCCCCCGGCTACGGGCCTGGTCAATAAAGGGAAAGTTTTGATTTGAAGAACTTTCGTTTTTGAAGACTGGCGCTGGTTGTGCCAGAGTCGGTCAGATATCAGTTGATTGCAGTCACTTGTAAGTGACAGGAGATTTGCTATTGAAGGTCAAGTAAATAGAATAAAATAAATAGACCAAACCAACTTTGACCCTACATTTTTTTGCAGGCCGTTGAAGTTAATGGTGGACCTAGTATTACTGCGGTTTTCTGAGAAGAAAATCATTCTTATCAGATCATAAAAAGCGTTCAAAGTTCTTTATCAATACATTTAAAAGTCCCGTAGTTTTACAAGTTCCAAAATTTGGCTTTTGCTGACAATGGCAGTTCACCGAATTTACAGGTGCCCTGTTGACAATAATGATAGTGAGGGACTAGTTGTTTACACTGATAAAGACAGTATTTAGGCCTATATATTTTCTTGTGGACTTTAAAATTTCAATCATAAAACTAGGTTAGGTAAAGTTTTTAGATGGAATATTGTAA